AACCAGAGGACTGCCTACAGGAGCCCAGAGCTCAGCCCTGACTAAGGGGAGTTGAGGGATGGAAGGAGAATTCAACAAGTAAAAGGGCAGGGCGGCGTTGTGAATGCATGGGGGATGCACCAGGGCACAGGGAGTGGGCTCTGAGACCACAGACTCTCATGGCAAAATCGCATGGCTTCTTCTCCCCTAAAGAAAACAATAGCATGAAATACATGCCATCTCTTATGTGTTTCTACATTGTATGTCCTCCAGAAATAAGCTTTTGGAACAGTCATGAATATCTTGAGAAGGAATAGAGGAAGCCACCTGTATTAGTTACGTTCACCAGAGAAACAGAACCAACAGGATGTATATACTAGTAGACAAGGAAAGGGATTTATTATAAGGAACCCTCTCATGCAGTTATGGAGGCTGAGAAGCCCCACGATCTGTAGTGGGGAAGCTGGAGACCCAGGAAAGCCAATGGTTTAGTTCCAGGACAGAAGCTGTCAGGCTTGAGACCCAAGAAGAGCTGATGTTTCGGTTTGAGTCTGAAGGCAGGAAAAGATGAATGTCCCAGATCAATAGTCACGCTGGAGGTGTTTCCTCTTTCTCTCATAATGATCAGCATTTTTGTTCTATTCAGGCCTTTAACTGATTGGAGAGGGCAGTCTTCTCTACTCAGTCTTCCAATTCAAATGTTAATGTCACCCCAAAATGCCCTCACAGACACATCGAGAATAATATTTGACCAAATATCTGGGCACATGTGGCCCCGTCAAGTAGACATACAATTAATGATCATACCATGTCTCGGTTTTTTAAGGGTTAATTGGAAAACATCCAGGAACATTCTACCAACCTGATTATTAAATTGGCAGCTCACCAAGGCTCATGGGGGTTTTTTTGTTTGTTTCTTAAATTTTTAAATGTATTGGGGTGACATTGGTTAAGTTTTAAGTGTATGATTCTATAATATGTTGTCTGTATATTGCATTGTGTGTTCATCACCCAAAGTCAAAGCTCCTTCTGTCACCATATATTTGACCCCCTTTATCTTTTACTACCTCCCCCCCCCACCCCTTCCCCCCTGGTAACCACCATACTTGGTCTGTCTCTATGAGTTTTTGTCTTATTTGTTCATTTTTTGCTTTCAGTTTTATATCCCACAAATGAGTGAAATCATATGGTCCTGACTCTTTCCATCTGACTTATTTTGCTTAGAATAATATTCTCAAAATTCCTCTCTCATAGCAAATGACGATATTTTATTACTTTCATGGCTTATTAGTATTTCATTGTATATATGTACCCCATTTTCTTTATCTGATCCTCTATTCGAGGATACTTCAATTGTTTTCAGGTATTGGCCACCATGAATAATGCTGCAATGAATAATACTACATTTATCTTGCTGGGACATATGCTAACTCTTATCTTAATTTTTTGAGAAACCTCCATACTGTTTGCATAGTAGCTATACAAGTTCACATTCCCACCAGCAGTGAATGAGAATTTCTTTTTTTCCACAACCTCTCCAACAATTGCTATTACATGTCTTGCTGATAATAGCCATTCTAACAGGTGTGAGGTGGTATCTCATTGTAGGTTTTTTTTAAAATCCTCATCCAAGGTTATGTCTTTATTGGTTTGAGAGAGAGAGAGGAGGTGGAGAGAGAGAGTCACCGATGTGAAAAACATCGATTGGTTGTCTCCATACACACCCCAACCAGGTATTGAACCCGAAATCTAGGTATGTGCCATAACCAGGAATCAAATCTGCAACCTTTGGTGTCCAGGATAACGCTTCAAATGACTGAGCCATCTGGCCAGGCTCATTGTAGCTTTGATTTGCATTTCCCTAATAACAAGTGAAGCTGAGAATCTTTTCATTTATCTGTTGGTCATATTTATCTCTTCTTGGGAGACGTGTCTGTTCATATCCTCTGCCCATTTTTAAAATGGATTGTTTGTTTTCTTGTTGTTGAATTATTTATATTTTTGCATATTAATCCCTTATTGAAGGTGTTGTTTGCAAATATCTTCTCCCATTCGTTTCATTGCATTTTTATTTTATTGATGATTTCTTTTCTGTGTAGAAGATATTTACTTCAATATTGCCCCATTCATTTATTCTTGCTTTTACTTTCCTTGCCTTCGAAGTCAAATTAATAAAATCCTCTCTAAGACCAAGGTCCATAAGTTTATTACCTATGTTTTCTTCCATGTAATTTATTGTTTCAGGTTTTATATTTAGGTCTTTGATCTATTTTGAGTTAATTTTTGTATATGGTGACAAATAGCAGTCTAGTTTCATTTTTTTGCATGTGGCTTTTCAATTTCCCCAGCACCATTTATTAAAGGGCTTTCTTTTCCCATTTTATGTTTTTGGCTCCTTTGTGAAAAAATATTTGCTCACATACATGTGAGTTTATTTCTAGGCTCTCAATTCTGTTTAATTGGTCTGTGTGTCTATTTTGTTTCTGCCAGTACCATGCTGTTTTTATTATTGTCGCTTTGTAATATAACTTGAAGTCAGGGAGTATGATACTTTTCGCTTTGTTCTTTGAGGATCATGTTTTTTGTAAGTCTCACAATTCCATAGACATTGTGGACAATATTTCAACATCATTGAGATATTGCCAATGACCTGCTTTGATAATTTTGACACTTTCAGAATTGATAGTTAATTCATCATTATGATTCAGACTATATTTATATGTTCTGGAGGTTTAGCGCATATTCTAGAAAGCCAGGCTGCCTGGCGTTAAATCCTAGACCTGCCTTTTAAGAGCTTGTAACCATAAGCATCTAGCTTAAATTCTTTGCCTCTCTATCTGAAATTGTAAAATGTAGGTAATAATAATAATACCTAAATCATGGTTTTTATGAAGATTGAATCAGATAATATGCATCAGTGAATGTAAAGAGACAGGTGGATGATGGGGATATAGAATCTATTCAATAAAATAGTTATGCCTATAGCAACTTAAATTTTATTTTAAAATGCTGTTTCAGCCTTGGCTCAATATTACTTAAGCATTGGTACTTTGTGAGTAAAGAGTCCTTATCAAGAGCAGTATATTAAATATGCTTAATTAGCATACATTTTGGATAGACTAAAACCAAAACTCCAAAGCCTTAGTTGGCTTGAAAATGACACCAGATTTAGCAAATGAGTTAGAGAAGATGAAATAGAAAGTAACACATTTATAGAATATGCATAGGCAGTGGAGTATTTGATTCACTTCACTACTTCTGTGCAATTTAGTTTGTTATAGTCAGAGAAACTGTCCATATTTTAAATGGTTCTTTGGCATCTTAGCATTAAAAACATTTGCAAACAAACCAACAGTGGGTGGGGGTGGAGAAATGCCAAAGGATGCTTTGTCAGGATTTGAGTTGTCAGGAATAACAGGCCGATTGACTGGGGCTACGACCATCTTTGGGTGGAAGGTGATCGGTCACCTGACAGATGGAAAAGCAGCCTTGGGTAAGTCACTGGGACTCAGGGCTCTTGAGCCAGATGACAAAGCCACCAACATGTCCAGCTCGTCTTTTCTTCGTGTGCTGTTTCTTATTTGCCTTAACAACCACATCACTCAATTAGTGGTTTCATATCTGTTTGGATAAGTTTGTTCACATAACATGAAATATATTTGCAGGGTGATGGGTGAAGAAATGTTTAGTTCTTTGAACTTAACTTCATGAGTGCTTCAGTGTCCTCAGGGCAGTCTTTACTCATACAGATGATGCGGATGTGAATCTCCAGGCACCCACTGCTGCTGACTACAGTTCACAGGCTTTGGTGTGTCCCCAGAGTTTGGACAACCCTCTTGGGCTACTAGCTGATAGGTGATGAAATGCAATATCTAGAACACAATTTTTTTATTTTGATGGCATATAACGTATGTCCATATTACTTTGTGTTTGCACCTCCATCAATAACACTTTTCTGCCTTAAAAAGTAATTTTTTCAGATTTTCGCATTCCCATGTCTGAAATTAGTCTGCCTATGAAAGTATTTTCATTCTCGGCTCTTTGAAGCTGGCTGTATTAGTCCGTTTGATTAATTCCTTGGGAAAATTTTTCCTTTAACGAAAAGAAGGAATGCCTTGCCCATTTATCAAGTGACTAAAGATAGTTGGGGATTAAGTCTGAATGGAGTGATTACTGCTTTCAAAAACCTAAATAATGGAAAGTATGTTGTTGTTATTGCTCTTGCTTAAACAGTTGCCTCGTTCAGCAGTGCCCCGCCTGGTGAATTTCCACCTCCCATCTTGTTCCTAACTTATAAACTTGTGTATGAGTTTCTATGCATTCGTAATACTTACATTTATTTATTCTGCCTTTGAAAAACTTCTGAGAGGGAAATTTAAGAATCGAGCCTGTATATTCTTATTGTTATTTATTATTATCATTCTTAGCTATGGATGTAGCGGCACATGCTTTTTTCAAATATTATTATCGAGTTAAAAATTTTAATCATAAAGCTATTGTGATGAAGCCAGTGTTAGTCTATTATGAAAACTCTGCACTTTTTCATTTTTGAGAGCTAAACCCAGAATGCATTGAGCTGTGCCTTAGTTTATTTTCCATTATCTTTCCACCACCCCCCTCCCACCCCAGAAATCATGCCATTCATTTAATACTTCATTACAACTGAACTGCAATATGTATACAGGGTATGCAAAATGAGCCATTCTGTTTTAAAACAGATTGCAGATGAAAGGAAACCATTCATTTCTTGCTTGCTTGCTGTAATTACTAGAGCACTAATTACTCCAAATCACTGACATCCAGGGTCAGGAAGATGACAACAGAAACATCAAAGAAAAGATGTGGCTCACTCACTAGGACAGCTTTTCCATATTCCCAACCACAGTATTTTTTTTTTTTTATGGCGACTGTTTACCATGGTAGCTTGGAGTTTCCAGTTTGATGGTGAAAAACAAACAAACAAACAAAAAGCCCTGCACACAGTCAAGATTGCTGAATGTTTACTATTATTTCATTCGCAGTTTGACGGTGAGAACATGTATATGAGCATGACAGAGCCGAGCCAGGACTACGTGCCAGCCAGCCAGGTGGGTTAATTAATCTTCTCTGCCTTGTTTCAAATTGTAATTAAACAAATTCAAAGAGTTGCATTGCAAATGAGTAGCACTATCAGTAACTGCCGCAATCAGGAATAATCATAATTTATAAACAAAGCATTTAAGCCTTGTTTCCAGTTAATGAGATAGAGCTGATAAAACACCAGAGTTGGCATTTGTTGAAAGATACTACCTTGTTTCCCCTCCAGAACGGCAAGCAGCTGTTTTGCCAGCATGATCTTCCCTAAACAGTTGTTTTACCTTTAGGAAATAAAGTCTTTACAGGTGCAGGTTATGTGTGCTTCTGACTAGAGACAAGTTAATCATTTTAAGCTACACATGTCACAAATAGCTTTAATTATCCACTGTTGGGGCAAGAAAATGGTATATTTATAACCAAAATTGCAAGGCCGATGAGCTCTATATGGCTGCTTTCAGAACCTACGGGGTGGGTACTTTCAAGCCAAAATGCATGATGTGATTAAAATCTATCAAGGGCACGTTTGTATCCATTTCACTGGGAATGATTGACACAGTATTTAATCATGAGAAGTGACAACAAAAAGTCCAAAGAAAATGTAAATGGATACATTTATAAAAGTCAATGCTTGGCTATTTATTTTTAGATACTTAAGACCAGGCCCTTCAATCCAGCAAGGGCATTTAAAGCAAAAATTATAACTGCCCTAGGGTGCCACTATAACATAATATGTAAGAACATTGTAAGCAAAAATGAGTGAATGAATGAATGAATGAATGAACGTGAGGGTGAGTTCATAGGAGCATTTGGGGCACTTGAATGTATTTTTTCCCCAGAAGACTATAAAACCATGGTAGCTTGGAGTTTCCTGTAACAGTGACCATGGTGGAAACTCTAGCATAGTACTGTAGTTTTCAATACCTACATAACTACTCAAATCGATTTGTTAACTGGGAGGGGGAGGGGCAGAGGGGATTAGAAAACTTCTATTGTTCTTCATGGTGGTTGTTAGTGAGTTAAATCTAATGTATATGTAAAGGGTGCACTCTGTGGGGCTTTGAAATTTCCCTAAGAACAAAATGTCTTGTGTTTAACTCAAAACAGAGGCAGGCCTGCCTCTGCATGAACTTTGCATTTAGAAGTCATTATGATCACTGCCTCCTCTGGCAGACATTCTAAAAACCACACTATATTGTTCAGACGAGAAGGTCATGGTGAAGTTCAAAGATCCAGACAACATTTTCTTCCATTCAACCGAGTTGATCACACTCAGAATACCTTTGGAAGGCCGAGCTTTGCATTTAAAATTCTTACTGAACTGAATTCATTCGGCTAAGTAGCCTCCCAGATCCATAGGTGGTTCAGAATAGGACTGTTTGATTAAAAAATGAAAAATGTTACTATTAATTTCCTTCTAACCATCAATCCCAAAACTGTACTGACAAGTTTAGTATTACTATTAGATTAGAGCAACCCAGTATCATCTCTTTGGTGCCTTTAGGGTTTTGAAGTGTAAGGGCTAATTGAATTTGTTTGAAACAGTAGAAACACAAACTCAATAAATGATTGCGGTTATAAAGCAGCTGCTCCCTCTCAGAGAATCATTATGTCCTTCTTAAAGACTTTTGGATAAAGGATTAGAAATTCAAAGCATATACATCACAACAGCTTGGGTCCTTAGATTTTTAAATTCAAGTACAGCAGATAATATTAAGCCCTGGCTAAAAGCAAACAGCTAACAATATTTTTCTTAACATTTCAGTCAGGAGTTACTAAGAATGTAAAATTTATGAAGGAGTAAAGAGCTCCAAATACTTGTTTTTGTAAGATATGGCAGGTTTGTGTGCCAGAATCAAACTATTTTTTAATAATGTATCATACATGAAAACGTTTTTAGAATGTACTGCTTTTTAAAAATAGACTAATATAAGATAATACAAACTTGGGGGGGAGGATAAATTTTACAAATTACACAAGTTCAATGGCCTTAGCTAAATTTTGCACTTAGCATTTCTTTTGTTTACTGTAATATAGTGTGGTCAAGAATCCATTACCTGGTATTCTTTTAGGGACTTTTAATCAATTTACCCCTTTCAGCAACCATAAATAAGATTTTAGTCATCCTGAAGGAAAAAAAAAAGTTTTGTTCTTTTTTCCTACATAACATCAAACATCTGCATAGTTTAGTAATCCAAGACAACTTGCCTCATAGCATCACTCAACAATTATAATTCCTGTTCAATTTTCAAATCAGTACATGCTTTGGGACTTACAGACTAAGTTGCTAAGTAGGAACATATGGTGCACTACTGCTCCTGTGATGTTGCTGCAAGCAAATAGCATAATTCTAAACTTGAAATGATTTTTATAGAAAGCCAATGCTGGAATAGCTCCAGCAATGGAAGCACACTGTAAAAATTAATGATATTCTTTTAGACAGTCCCAAAGGGCTCTTTGGCACTATCTACTGCATGCATTCTATACCTCTTGAGTGGGTATAGAATCCTTAAAATATTTTGCATATCATTTTGTATTGATAGGCAGCTTTTAAATTGAATATACCACCGCATAATAAGCCTGACAAGTATGTAATAAAAACTCATGACATTTCCACTCCTCTCTGGTTCCATTCTTGGAATATTGGCTATTTTCTCCTATAATGGCTAAAGTGGGCTGGCCACTCAGTGCTTTAATTTAAACACCACTTAAAAAGTTCTTACCCTGGATAGAATTTGAACCATGCAATGCAAGATTTCTTTGTGTCTTTCCAGACCCTGACTAAGAGGACCCACATTGCTCAATACCTCATGAAATCGCAGGTTCCCTCCTGTAGAGTTTGTGGGACAGTGTGAGTGGGCTAATGAAAGGAATGTTGACTGAAGAGTGGCTAACAGTCCCTCACCAACTCACCCCTTTCTCATTCCTAACCTGTCACGTTTGATTGACCATGTGCCAGAATACACAACCATAAGGCAGAGCGGGTGGGCTTCTCCCCCAAGCGCCAACTCTTCTCCACATTTCCCAGACCCACTCAGATTCACATGCTATGAGGTCCTTCTCTTTCCCTAAAAAATCCCAGCCCCTTTCTCCAGCCCCTAGAGTTATAGTACCTTCCGTAGCCTCACCTATGATTGTACTCGAGCTATAAATGTTCATTTGAATTGCGTACATCAAAGGAAACAGAAGAGGAATCTGGTTTTCTTGGTCAGAACTTCCTACGGCACAAAGACGAGTTACGTATGTTTAGTTTTGAATACCAGTATGTGCCATTACTTTTTCTCCTTCCTCCTTCTTTGGCAGTTCCCAGAATATCGTTTTCCATGGCTACCTGTTTATTCCAAGTTTTCCACACCCACTGGCAACCCGTTTCACCACTTCTCTGACCCAGGAAGCCCTCTCCTTCATGCCTCCCTTGGGATCCTGTGGGAAAATTGTGGAAAAGGACTGGTCTTTTTATATAAGAAATAATTGCTTAATAGTGGGAATCAGAAGAGTTTTCTGGTGTCAAGTCATGAAGAAGCTTTGATTACTTGATTGGAACATATTTCAATAACTTACTTCCTCCTTGACCTTGGCCTCTATTTCACTAAACTATTTCCTTCTGTCTGGGCCCCACAGTTTCTTCATTCCTTCCCTTCCCCCTTCTTAGTTTCCTTTCTTCCTCCTTCTTTCCATGAACAAATATCCCTTAAGTATGAACTAAATTTTTATTGTTAATTCTGAGCATCATAGTAAACTCAAAATATTAAATGTCCTGAACTGAGAACCCCATTTTGGATGATTTTCAGCTTGTGATCAGGTTTCTCTCTGCTTCTTTTCTCTTACCCCACTGAAATTTTCTCTTATCTGGGCCCTCAAGGTTAAAAAACAACAATGATAAAATAGAGCAATATTATTTTTTTCCTAGAATCACACAACTGAGCATTGGACATACATTTCAAACCACACATTTTGAATATAAAAGATGAAGGGCGCCTGTGGATCTAGGGCAGCTCTCTCCTGTGAGTTTTGGGTTTGATTTAACTTCACTGGACACCTGTCCCTGACAATAGCTCAGACTCAACATATCAATGCATCAAAATTGAAATTCATCATCTTCAACCAGCTCCCTCACCCCTACACTTCTTTTTCCTATATTGCCTGTAGTCATAACAGTTCACACCACCTACCCAATCTCCCAAGACAGAAACTTGGACAGCCTCCCTTATCACTCAGCCCTGAGTTAATTGCAGATAGTGTTGATTCACCTTTTTGCATAACTTTTGAACCTGACTCCTCTTTTCCTTGTACGTAATTACTGCTTGAGTTCTGGGCCCCACAGTTTCTCATTAATTTATTTCATCCTATCCCACTTTACCTTTCCATTTCTCCTCGCACTGTCGCTGAATGATCCATGTTTCTTCCCTACTCACACACCTCCATGCCTCTAGTATGTGTAAGTCGGAGTTACCCAGGCACATATTTGCCCCTCTGTGGCATGTAGCTTCCCAAAATTGGTACCAATTTCCTTTTTTTGCCCACCTGATTATGAGCTTTTGAAGGTAGGACTCACTCTTGTTTCTCTCTGGATCTCCTGTGCCTACAATAACACATCAGAGGGATGCAACATTTTTTTGTTGAAAGATGATTAAATGAATTCAAATATTTTGTGCACATTTTTAAATCACATTCATACTTTGAATTTTCTACTTGCAATGATTTTCAACCCTGCATTACAGGCATTTAGCAAATCTGGCCCTGCCCATTCCATTCTACTAGCACCCCTCTGTCTGGTGTCAACACCTCTACACATTAACAAAAGGCACCAGCTCTCCCACCTTTACAGAGAATCATGTCAAGTACAGGGCTCAAATAATTAGTGTGATGCTAAACTAGATAATAGTAGGCAGTTATTGCTGCAATAATACCATGTTGCTCTTTGTCATCAGCAATACAAAGGCTGTAGGACCAAAAGGACTCTCCACCTTCCTTTTTGTACACTGTTTTATTAAATCTATTAAACTTATAATGT